GTGCTCAGTTCACTGAATTTATCAATTTTTTCTGGTTGATTTTTGCATTACGATAGAAAGACATTTTTATATTTATTTGGGGAATGCAGAAATTAGGGGGAGGGGTTCGTATATCTATTCGTATTTTATGAATACTAGTGGCACCCCCTCCCAAGCTAGCCGTGAATTATCAGAACATTAGGAACTTCACTCAAATCTTAATACCATCTATAATCACCTGGAGATGACAAAGCCAGTCTTGCTTTATCTTATCAAGTCGAATGTGTAATCTCTCTCTCTCTCTCTCTTGCTTTTCGATCGAAAAAGTAGGGCTCTTTATTTCGACGGTAGTGTTTAAGTATATGTACACTAAGATTTAGATGTCTGAGTACGGGAAAAGAATCTGAATTTTAATAGAACAGGAGCCAAACGAGCACATGAGGCTCACCTGATGTTAAGTGATTACAAACACCCATGAATAACTACAACACCAGGGGTATTGGAGGTGCATTGCCGGCCTTTTAAAAAGAAGTAGACGCTTTTCTTGAAGTACGCCGATTCCACAAGGAAGTCGTGCAAGGAACGAAGTTTGTGGTAAACCGTCCATTGGTGGACCGCCAAGGATCCAGATGGTGTAGATGGTACCGCTAATTTGTCCCTATGTATACAAAGGGATGCAACGTATCTTCGCAGCACCATTGAGTCAAGCCGAGCCGAAAAAACTCATACTTTTACGATTTAGATTGCACTTGTCTAGACGCCATGAAGGGTTATGAGCTTGACTTATGAAGTTGTAACTTTAAAATAAGAAAGCCGCTATTGCGTTCTCATCCATCTTATGTTCATTTAGGCTAAGATGATATCACACACAGCCTGTAATAATATATACAAATCTTCACAGTAATGGTTGCAGGTATATTTATTACTTGTAAGTATACATTTTTTACATAGCTAAATGCCACTAAAATAACTTGATTGTTTTATGCATAATTTCATACTTGAAATTGAATTCGTAAGAAGTGAGATATACTCGAGTAATTAAACATATTTAATCTTTATTTTGAAATTAGGTAGTACTAAATATACATTATACATATCGATATCATTGACTCATATTGATATTATTGATAGCAGATCCGCTGCAATCTGTTTATCTAATCGGCGACACCAAGGTAGTTGAGTTGAAACAAAGGAAACTTACAGTTATATTCCTTACATTTTAATATTGTTTTTTTCATATCCTCGTCAAATTTTAGAGAGTACCTGAAATAAATACTACATATTTATTCCACTGATTTACAAGACTGCAAAACACGATGATGGCTGAGGCGCAGTGGCTTAGCAATGAGTTGCAGCCTTAAGGGTACACTAGTCGCTCATTCTTCCATACAAACGTAGTCTGGCGACTACTCCACTGTTTGATGGTGTACGTTCAAAATAAAAAATGATTTCAATTTGTCTCATCATTATATATTTAAAAGTACTAATTAACACATCTTTGGGCGGAAAAAATACCATAAGAAGAACTAAATTGCAAAACAGTTACCAAACAGGGATAGATTAGGTGTTCAAAAGTGCAAATAATTTTATTTTGAACAGACACTTTCAGTAGATTTTTCATGATATCCAGATTCCCAGAGGTCTTTTTATAAAATTTCGTGCGCTCGTTTCGATGTAAATCATCATGCCTTTCGCTTTCGAACGTAATGTCGACTAAGATAGCATGCATTTTAACCCCGCCCACCACTTAGTTCGTGCCCTCGACTAGGGCCACCTTAAGGGCTGCCGGTTCGAATCCCGCACGGAACAAGTATTTGTATAGCCTGCAGATAATTTTTCTGGGTCTGGATGTTTGTCCTTGTAAAATGTATGTAGTACACTGCCACCACGATACAGAAGAAAATCCTAGTAATATATCCTTTGAAGAAATATTCAGAAACATTTGTGAAGCATTAACTGCACTTGTAGTTATTTAATTATGACAAAAAGTGAATTATTACGTGTTATTACGTACGCTATTCGACAGTAATATTTTTAACAGACTTCAAAAAGAAGGAAGCTGTGGATTCGACTGTATTTATATTATTACATATAATGTAATATACACTATATAATAGCACATTTCCTTTTAAAATAATTTAGTTAATTCAGAATGTGTTTTGTTTTAATTATACAGTCAACTCGAAAGTAGATTTAATGAATATTTGTCATTTTAGTAGATATTTGTACATATAAGACATAATATATCCTAAAGGTATCTCGCAAGTAGTTGTAATGGTTAAAATTATTTTTAACCACTCCAACCGTCTGCATTGCCATTGGATAATATAAAATATAGACCCGACATGAAACCGAAAATCAGACGTAGCGGTATTTTGGTAAATTTCGTACATTTATAACAATATTGTAGACCGCTTTTGTATCATTTAAAAAAACGATTACCCTCACAAATTAATAAAGCGGGATTGCACCTAACTAGACTATTCGACCTTACCTAAAGAACAATTTAATAATTATGCCATGACTACTTCTTTTTCTTAATTTCGCGTATACAATTCCTAACCTACAGGATATTTCTACTATTGTAAGTAAACTTATGTGATATTATAAATGTTGTAAAGTGTTGGTACTGGAAAAATTTAGTTACGAATTATAATTAATAATTTTTACATTTGTCCAGAACCGACGCATAGTTTTGCCAGTAACATTATATGCCATTGGTATCAATGTGTTGAAATTGGAAGCGATATTCTTATTCTAAGCGCTAACTACTACGCATGTTTACACTTCTGTATAAACTTCTGTATAATAAAGATGAAAAGTATAAAGCAGTTTTATTTATAAGTAACGATAACCTGAATGTGTAGTTGAACAAAAAAATCAACTTGAAACATTTATTATTTTTTATCTTTGTAAATAATATTTTACCTAATAAAAAGTTAAAATACCAGAAGGCCTAGGTTTGGCCTAGCTATAGCTATTAATTATTCTGATGCCATAGGTATAATTCACTTCTCTTTTGTTTCAATGTTACTTTTATCCCAGAAACCCAGTACATGGGTACTTAAAATTCATTCTGGAATCTTCTCAAATGATTATGGCCTAGTTTATATTATTATTTTGGTGTTTAGCGACATTTAAACGTATCTTTGAATAATTAATTCTAAAGGTTTTAATCTAGTCTTACAAAGTTGTCTTAATTTTTTATCTACTATTTAATATAATGTAGGAGATGAAATAAAACAAAATAATAAAGCAAAAAAGTTTAATAGAAAAATACTATGAATGTTAGTAACATTTAATGTTATATTAACATAATTAAGTACAGATGTTTGCATAAATTGAACAAAAACAAATGCAACATAATATATATTACATGATAAGCGATGATGTTATAACCATAATTTAACTTTATTGTTATAAATCATAATCTCAAAAAAATACATATGCGATTAGGGGTTTTTAAAAGCCTATGTTGATATAATTTTTTTACATATGGTTACATTGAGTTAAACAACACTAGAGGAGCAAACCACATTACCGCGCGTCGAAAAAAGTGTAACCACTATCCAAACGCGACGACGTAGCTTTGAAACTAATAACAATTTTAAGTAAACATATATCTATCTCACTTACACAAGTTGCGAAAACAATATCGTCGTCGTAAGATTAGATAAAGATAGACACACAAACATGCAATGGCGAGTTGGTGTTGCTTATTATATGAAATTTTACCTAAAATACGCAATAAAAATGAGTTTTTTTAACCTGCAGTTAATTGTTTTTATATTAAAAAAAGTATATTTTATTTTAAAATCTTTATTACGTCCCCTTAGAAAAAAAGGGATACAAAGCTTATCAGATGATGATATAAGTAAACATAATGATGAAATAAAACGTATTTTTATGGTTCTAATAAATCAAACAATATTAAATAGGTATCTAATAAAATATAATTAATATAAAATTTATATGAAATTATAAATAATATAAAATTATTAATATAAAATAGGTAATAAAATATATTTAATAGATAATTCATGAATAAACTAAAATAAGAATAATTATTTTGTATGAAAGTTAAAACGTAGTTTTTATTATAATTTCCAAAATATTTAAAATCAGAGGTAACAAATTAACTTACTCCATTAATTATATAGTCTCCCATTAATGTAGGATAATCACAAATTCGGAAAAGTGGCAACATTGAACCTAAATGGCAATATTCGATAATTTTATTTAATTATTTGAGGTTTTTTACGTTTATATGACAACAGGAACTAAAAATTATGTGTTGTAAGTGATGCCGCTTGATTTATTACGTTTTTGTGACCTTGAATAGCATTCTTTCACTACACACTTACCCATTTTTGTCGCGGCTCAACTCTGTCGGTGTCACATTGAACAATGAACTCACGTTAGCTAGGCATATGGCTGTGGCCATATGTGCAGTGGCAACGCTTTGGCGCGGTTATTACTGATCTAGGGTTATATAAATCAATGTATGGTTACATCTATTTAATGAAAAGGCATAAGCGTAAACAATCAAAAATCTCAGATATCTCAGAAAATGATTATGTGCTAAGACATCCAATCAATTTAACACCCCATCAATATGGGTGTTCATCAATTAACTTAAGATGAAGTCACATTATTTAAGTTTCCAATATATCCCAATGAACATCCCTACTGATGGATAGAAAAATTGACCCTGCAACTGCAATTACATAACAACCAAGCAGAAATCACAACAAACTACAACTATTGAATAAAGCTTTATTAAAATGATTTTAAATTTGGAACTGGGAGTGAGTCAATCTGAAGTTTTTTTTTAGTTTTATATTCTGATATAAATTGCACACATGGAAAACACATTCCAAATAATGGGTATACTTTTTGCATTTCTCAAGCCGATGAAAATTGTGGTAAATACGGAGTATCGATGGTGCTGTGAAGACCGCTCGGCTGACGGTCGTAACTTACAGTTTAGAACGCAGGTCGGATGCCCCAGCGGCTAATTGTCAGGAGGGATCTTCTTCGAATCTGAAATGAATTTATAAAGTAAAGTTACAGCCTACATATATCACTTACACTGCTGGGCACGAGCCTTCCTTTATTTCTAAAGTTTTATGGCAAGAATGCATGTTGGCGGAATTTTTTTCTATAGGATAGGATGACAAACGTGTACACAATTCACCTGATGTCAAGTGGTGGCTGTGACATCTACATCTTTCACCCATGAGGAGTAAGATGGAATGCCACGTTTGTAGTAAAAAGGGTCTCAGCTTCTCTACACTCACCATACAAAACACAGCAGCATTAAGATAGTATTTTACCCTGGTATTCTGTGAGAGCGTGGTTCTTCCCCGGTCGAGCAGACCCATTCATGCTCAGCATTGCTCTACGACTTCAAATATCTATGAAATATTTTTTTATTTTGTTGACATGCAAGTTTCCTCACGATTATTCCTTCACCGTCTAGCACGTGATAAATCAGCACTTAAAATTTCAAGCAACAATTTCATCGGTACCGGGCGGCAATCGAACCCGGGTTTTTCACATACTGTGAAAATCACAGCAACCTCTGAGCTACACACGGGTGTTTGTTACAAGTAATTTACGCAACAACCTCTGTTAACCAGTGAAGCCTAACTGCTAGTAAGTACATAATATACATCACGGCAATTGGCGAAAGGCGGATTTGAACTTACGAATTGAATTGTGTTGCGTTTTTTTTTAAAATATTCGGATAAATATTTTTATATTAAAGCCAACTAACTATGGTTTTAGTGACAACGGTGTTTACACTTACACCTTATAAGTTACTATACATCTATATAAAGACTAGCGATCTGCCCCGCTTCATGCGGGTGATTTCTGAACCTCGGCAACAGCACCACCTACCGGGTCCGACTATAGCGAAGAACCATCCAGATTACCTCAGAAATACTCCATAAAATTCTCATCAAAATCGATCAGGCCGTTTAGGAGAAGAATTTCGAACACACGCACACTCCAATTTTATATAAAATGATAATCATTTAATAGAGATAGACATTTTCTTTGTCAGACTTACCTGACTGTAAAATTTGAATAATTAGATCAGGGATTTCCAAACTATTTTAGGCAAGAGACCCATTTTCCAAAATAAACTGATAAACAAATTACTTTAAAAATCCTATCTCGTTTTTTTCCTATTGATACAAAACTCTTACCAATTAACAAACTGCGGTTGATTAAGGGTCTACCCACCCACACGTACTACAACCACAGTGGACGGGCGCATTTTGTATTGGAAATGAATAGTACAATTTACATGTACCACATTTTGCCGTCATTATCGACTGCGTGAGTGATATCGACCGCAACGAAACCATACGGGACTAGCGGCCGGCCACATCGCAAACACAACATTGCGTCGACTCCACAACTAGGGTTGCAACGTAACTGTAAAAACGTGCAACGACAGTTCACACGTGACCACAATTTGTCGCTGCAATGCGGTGTGGTTGTGATGCGTGTGGGCCGACACTAAGTATGAGTATACTTGACATTATTTTCTTATAAAGTTTAACAAAATAAATAGACATAGAATTCAATAAATATCAAGTGGTAATTAATAACTATCAATACAAATTACAATTACAAATTGTCAGTTTACGTTATGTCGACCCCTGGGAAAGCGATTTCGACCCAAGGGTTCGATATCGACCACTTTGAGAATGTCTGAATTAGATAATTATAAATGGACACCAAACTTGATTTATTTATTTAGTTATTTTATTTTTATTCATCATTAATATCATAAACCTAAGAACGCGCAGAAAGTCAAGATGCGCCACCTGGCAAGCATTACTGAGAATATTAGAGCACACACCACGCTGTTGGGCAGACGGGCGATAAAAGCAGAGCCGATTCCCTCGGACCAATGCTGCTTAGTATCACCAGACCTCGAAATTTGTGTTCAGCGTGCTATATGAATATGCATACATATAATCATCAGCCATAAACTGTATTTATTATGTTAGTTTTACTGAAGAAGTCCTCTAAATGTTACTAATATAAACTAAAGTATTTCCTTAAGCCTTTGATGAAGTTGACGGCGTACAAGAATCTAACATATCATTATGACTAGACTAGACTAAACGACTATGAAGTATAAAGAATGCCAGAAACGTTTTATTAGGAGCCCTGGTGACCTGTTAGACAGGTTATTTTAAAAAATATATTAGACACCAGCCTTGCACAGTAGTCTGGCAATTCTTTAATACATAGCACTAAGATTTACTATTGTAAAGCGAAAATAAATGGATTCATTCATCTTCCGATAGATGGCGGATTTAAAATATTTAGACCGGAGATGAGAAACGGCAGCAAACGAGATCATTAACAGAAGAGAAGAATAGAGGAAATAAAAAATGCCGGGCACTGCGATAGGCAATCCGCCTGCCAAGCGAGGCAAATCCCTCCCCCCATCCCTACAACGAAAGAAACCTATATCAGTGACAAACGAGCACACAGTCAACCTGATGGTAAATTAATGCTGTGTCCCATAGACATTTACATCTATCCTCAATTAAGAATTAAAATAAAGATGCGGTGTCACCTCTGTAGACTTAGATGGAATGCCTCGTTTCCAGTAAAAAAGGTCTTCGGTTCTCCGGTATCTGTTCTCTACACTCACCATACGCAACACAGCAGCATTAAGTTGCTATTTCACACTGGTATTCTCTCGTATGAGAGTGTGGTCTTTCACCGGTTGCGCCGACCAATACGTATTACAAGATTACAAACATAATATAGCTGCAGCTTGGCTAAGTTTTTTTTTTTAATATTTGATAATATTCAAATATTTCATGGTTATTTCCCAACACTATAAAATTAACTTAATATATCAAATAAATTTTATTGATGGCTACTAAACGAGTACACAAACCTCATGTTCATTGCATTGGAGTTGCCAGGCTCAAGTTTATATCCAAGACTCTCGTAAAACTTTATAAGTTTGTCTTTGCAGTCCAAAGACATTTTATAGCAGCCTAACTCTTGAGCCAGTAGTGATACTGTTACAACTATTCTGTAATTGAAAATAAGTTTATTTACAGATGTGCTATAGATGAAATAGGGCTGTCCAAACCATTCCTTGCAAAGTAAATTTAAAAACTCAAAAACACAACTATAGTGACCAACAAAGATAAAATACCACATTTACATTAGGATTTTTAAGAAAATTCATTGTTGTCGATGTATTTATGTATATTACATGCATGATATTATCTTAATATATATAAATTACGTGTCACGTTGTTTGTCCGCGATGGACTCCTAAACTACTTAAGCGATTTTAATCAAATTTGCACACCGTGTGCAGTTTGGTCCAACTTGAGAGATAGAATAGTTTTTTTGCCCATGAGTGACCCACAATTTTTTTTGCGAATTTAGGGACTTTAATAGGACATGACAAAAGGTCCTCGGAAAGAGCAGAACAATGTCTGCCTGGCAAGCTAGTTAAAAAAAAGCTAGTTAAAATGTACACGACTCCGCATATGAAGAATTGCCTTAAAAACTGTTAAGCTGTAAAAGCTACAGAAGGTTATAGTGTGACCGTCAGAAGATTCGACCTCTTTCAGCCAAAATCAGCCGAAAAGTCATCGGCGTGGCTGTTAAGATAATTCAAACAACTTGATATGCGCGTCATGTTCATATGTTTACATTACATTTTTATTATTATTGTGTAAAAAATCAAAAGTATATTTTATTAAAGTGTTGACTAAGTGCACTGACATTGACATTTTTTGATAGTTAAAAATTATTTTTTTCCTTCAATTGAAATTTAATTTCTATAGCTCACTAACACCACCTGTCGATTTTTATGTACAATAAATCTCTGGTGTGGACAGCCCTGGTATAAAACACTGCATTATTTTAAATCAAGTTACTTACAACTTTCCCAGTTGTTTTCCTCTGTAAGTATCATTAACAACTACGTCTTCTAAACGGCCACGCTGAAAAAAAAATACCAATCAGTTTTAATTTTATAACCGGACCCAACAGTAACCTATGATGAACTATAAAAAGACGAAGCCTAAGAAATCAGAAAACCCAACTTCTATTTGACTGTGTCTGGATTATCCAATTGAATAAAAGTACAAATTAATAATTTTCTGGGCTGCATTTATTTATTTCATTTTAAAAATTACATTTCAATATTCATTTTATACTCGGTAGAGCCATGCTGCAGTCATATTAGTAGTTAATTGTAGCACGAATGGGTCAGCTCGACCGGGGAAGGACCACGCTCTCACAGAATACCAGCGTAAAATAGTAGCTTAATGCTGCTGTATTTCGTATGGTGAGTGTAGAGAACCGGAGACTATTTTTACTGGAAACGAGGCATTCCATCTAAGTCCTCACGGGTGACAACGCAACTGCATTTTGATTCGTAATCGAGGATAGATGTAGATGTCTATGGGCCACCAACCCACCAACCCAAATGGGCCAGAAACCACTTACAATCAGGTGGACTGTGTGCTCGTTTGTCACCCTATCTTATAAAAAAAAATGTTGTCCTCGGATAATAATCGGAAGGAGCGCTGTTATGTCTGGACGTACATTTGCGGCGCAATTTTAATGTTATTCATTTATTATTGGAGTCAGGAAGTTGGCGGTGTCTCAACCCCGTGCCTCGGAAAGCCGTTAATCCTGCCCCTGATCTCTCGCCGATGGTGTCAGTTTATTTACCGTCCCATCGGATAATGAGAGTGAGGGAATCTTAGTGCACCTGTGCTTGCGCATACACTTGGGCAATATAACCCTTGTCTGTATTATTATTAATTAATTATTTTGCTAAGTTACTTTCTCGTATTATTACTACTACGATACTACACATAAGTAATTGAACTTATTTTATTTTAATAAAATAAATTCAATTATTTAAAAAGTTTTAAATCATACCAAGGAACAATTGTGGATAAACTTCTGTTCCACTGTGAGGGTGGCGGCTGCGATTATTTTTGATGAGCGCTTGTCTTCAATCACTGTTACATAGTGGCCACCGGATATCTTCATTTGTGTGAATCGCTCTGAAATTGTAAAATTATCAAGAAATAATAATTAAAAACGGACAATTAGGCCGTGTAGTGTCGATGTAAAAATAACCACTACCCCATATCATCCCGTGGCTGTTAAAAAACAGGGGATAGGCAACAGCGACTTATAAAGGCTAAAAACGAAAAAACCGCGATTGCCAATCCACTTGCCAAGCGCGGAAACAATAGTAAATATGCCCTCTATGAGGCTATCTGTGGGGGAGACCTGTGTTCTGCAGTGGACTTTAATATGGTGTAACGGTAATGATATTAATGCTCAAAAAACATGGCAATAAGATCCTAGACATAGAGAAGCAGCGTCCTTGGAATAATTCTAGAACGCTGCTTCCAGTTATTTGTCTGGATGTTTAAAAAAGTTCGGAATTGAGGGTTAGAAAAAGGAGGGGGCATTTTTTTTTACTGTCACTACTCACTACTTGGTAGCTCAACAACTATAAATACCTTTCAGCCAGATCGGTTTATTACCAAAACTAAGTATAACTATGGAAAAAATTGAATTTCGTGCCGTAATTAAATTTCTTGCTAAGCAAGGAAAAACTTAAACTAATGGAAGAGATGTCATCTGTTTACGAGGACTCTTGTCCTAGAAAAACGATGATAAATAACTGGCATAGCCTTTTCAAGGCAGGGACTTAATTGAAGAAGATCAGCGCTTAGGCGAAACGATTCTAACTTCTTCAAACATTAAATAACTTATCTTCTTATCTCATTCTTCAAAGTTAAATAACTTATTCTTGAAGATGCTTGTCTGACGAAAAACAGTTCACAGAAATGAGTAGACTATAATCTACGATCATTTTAAATCTCCATTACCATTGCGTGTCAAAGGAGTGAAGATAGGTACCAAGAATGCTCACACCGCTTCAGAAACAGCGCGGGTCAAGTGTTAGCGCGAGTTTTTGGATCTGAGTAGTGAAAACATAGACGAAATTATGAACCGAATTGCGACTGGAGACAGAAATTCATTCACTATTACTGAGTCCATGCAGTGACATGAAAAAGGCGCAGCACCACCTAAGAATGTTTATGACTTCAGTTTTTGTGGGATTCACAGTGGGATATTATTGATCGATTATAAAGATAAAGATGTCAATATTACGGGGCAGTATTACGCTACCCTAAAAAAAGTTGCACAACGACGCACCTGTTTACAAGAGTCATTGCGATAGCTTCCTTATATAAGTGCGACTTTGAAACCTTAATCCACCCACCCTATAATCCAGATTTGATCCTTTAGGGTAATTATGTTCCCAAATATGTAAAAAGAGCTTTGGAGAAAGAAATTTACCGATGGCGGAGAAGTGAAATCGGCAATTTACATAACATAACATAAACACTGTAGTGCCGTGTAGTGGCGGTTAAGAATATCCACTACCCCATATCTTCCCGTGGGTGTCGTAAAAGGCGACAGAGGGAAACAGGCAGGAGATGGGCAGCAGTATCTTCCTGATAACAGCCACTGTACGACAAAAAAAAAACTGCGGTTGCCAACCCGCTCGCCAAGCGTGGCAATTATGGCAATATACCCCCCCATGAACAATTACACAAATAGACGGCCCCCAGTCCCCGGCGGCTCCGCTATTCCTGGCTACGGTGGCGACCATGGTAACAATGTATGGTAACAATAAAAAAAATGGCGGGGCAGGGGGTGCTAAGAATCTCCGGTGGAGGTTCGGTTGCCACCTACGACGACTCGACCTGGCAACATTTAACGCACGCACACTGAGTACTGACGAGAAGATCCTGGAGCTGGAAGAAGAGATAGACAAGTTGCGCTGGAGTATTATAGGATTATTAGGACACCAAGGAGGTGTCGGATTTATCTTCCACAAGTCTCTTCTTAACAACATTGTAAAGATTTTGAGTGTGTCGACAAGAGTGATATACCTAATACTCAGAATCACCAAACGGTATTCGTTGAAGGTCATACAGGTTTACGCACCAACCTCGGCACATTCCGATGAGGAGGTGGAGGAAATGTATGAGGATATTTCCAGAGCCATGCATTCCTCCAAAACCCACTACACGGTGTTGATGGGAGACTTCAACGCAAAACTAGGGACAAGAGAAAACGGTGAGCTGAAGTTAGGGAAATTTGGAGTGGGGCAACGGAACCGAAGGGGCCAGCAGCTGGCCGACTTTATGGAGAAAGAGGGACTCTTTATGATGAACTCTTTCTTCCAGAAGCGGCCCCACAGGAAGTGGACCTGGTCGAGCCCCGACGGTTCGACAAAAAATGAGATTGACTTCATTATGACGACCAGACGCCAACTGTTCAGTGATGTCTCAGTGATCGCAAGGGTGAAAACTGGCAGCGATCACCGAATGGTTAGAGGCACATTGAACCTAAACGTTAAGTTGGAGAGGTCTCGTCTAATGAAGTCAACGCTCCATCCCCCTCGTGCTCTAATCCAGAATTCCGAAAACTTTCAGCTCGAGTTACACAACCGCTTTCAGTGCCTACAAGATTGCAATGCAGTGGACGATATGAATGACAAGCTCGTGGAAACTGTCCATGCGGTCGGAGCTAAGTTCTGCAAGATCCGCCGCAGAAGAACACAAAAACTCTCCGATCACACTCTTAATCTCATGGCTGTTAGACGGGAGATGAGGCTGCAATCGTCAACAGATTTGACAGCATACAGGCAACTGAACAGACAGATCTCCAAATGCATGCGGCGAGACTTACGCAACTTTAATACTGTTCGTATTAAACAAGCGATCGAGCGGAACCAGGGCTCCAAAGTCTTTGCCAGAGATCTGTCTGCCCGTAAGAGCCAACTGTCAAAGCTGAAGACTGAGTGCGGCAGAATCGTTTCCGGGACACCTGAGATTTTGAGTGAGACTGAGAGGTTCTATGGGCAGCTGTACACATCATCGTTGGAGCCACACGCAAGTGTGAGTAACGATCCAAGGGCAAGTCTTATCCGACACTATTCCGATGATATCACGAACGTCAGTCTAAGCGAGATTAGAATGGCTTTCCAGCACCTTAAAAACGGCAGGGCCCCAGGCGAGGATGGAATTACAGTGGAGCTTCTGAAAGCGGGTGGAACACCGGTACTTGAAGTCCTTCAGAAGCTCTTCAATTCCGTCCTCCATGGTGGCACTACTCCAGAGGCGTGGAGCAGAAGTGCGGTGGTCTTGTTCTTTAAGAAAGGCGACAACGCTCTCTTGAAGAACTACAGACCGATTTCCCTTCTGAGCCGCGTCTACGTGCTGTTTTCGAGAGTCATTACGAATCGTCTCGCAAGCAGACTCGACGACTTCCAGCCTCCCGAACAAGCCGGTTTCCGAAAAGGCTTCAGTACCATAGACCACAGTACAGAAGACTTCAGTACAGAAGACTGAAGAGTACAATTTGCCACTTTGCCTGGCGTATGTGGACTATGAGAAAGCCTTTGATTCCGTCGAAATTTGGGCGGTGCTGCAGTCCCTTCAGCGGTGCCAAGTTGACTGTCGGTATATCGAAGTGCTGAAGTGTTTGTACAGTAGGGCTACGATGGCTATCCGAGTACAGAACCAGAGCTCGAAACCTATCCAACTGCAGAGAGGTGTAAGACAGGGTGGCGTTATATCCCAGAAACTCTTCACCGCTGCTTTGGAAGACGTTTTCAAGCTACTGGACTGGAAAGGATACGGTATTAACATCAATGGCGAGTACATCACTCACCTTCGATTTGCCGACGATATAGTCCTTATGGCAGAATCGCTGGAGGACTTAAGCACTATGCTCAATGACCTCAATAGTGCCTCCCAACGGATAGGTCTTAAGATGAACATGGACAAAACAAAGATCATGTTTAATGTCCATGTCACACCTATGCCGGTAGTTGTTGGGAGCACTATGCTCGAAGTTGTTGACGAGTACGTTTACCTGGGACAAATAGTCCGACTAGGTAAGTCCAACTTCGACCGAGAGGTCAATCGACGGATTCAACTCGGCTGGGCAGCGTTCGGGAAATTACGACACATCTTCTCGTCAGGTATACCTCAATCTCTGAAAACTAAAGTGTACAACCAGTGCGTGTTGCCAGTGATGACTTACGGATCAGAGACGTGGTCCTTCACTGCTGGCCGTATGAGGACGCTCAAGGTCGCTCAGCGAGCTATGGAGAGGGCTATGCTCGGAGTTTCTCTGCGTGATAGACTCAGAAATGAGGATATCCGCAGTAAAACCAGAGTGACCGACATAGCCCAACGGATTAGTAAGCTGAAGTGGCAATGGGCCGGCCATATAGCTCGAAGAACCGATAACCGATGGGGAAGAAAGGTTCTCGAGTGGCAGCCTCGTACCGGTAGGCGTAGTGTAGGGCGACCCCCCACTAGATGGAGTGACGACCTGGTAAGATATGCAGGAAGTCGATGGATGCAGGTGGCTCAGGACCGTGCTTTGTGGCATTACTTGGGGGAGGCCTATGTTCAGCAGTGGACTTGTGAAGGGCTGTAATGATGATGATGATAACGATGAACATAAACACTCACGCCTGTCACCCAGAGGGGTAGGCAGAGACTACAGACTTCCATTTAGCACGATCCTGACTTACCTTTCTCGCCTCTTCCACATCCATATACCTACGCATACATGCTCGTCGGTTAAGGGTACTCTTAATTTGGCCCGTTTTCAATAAATCGCCAATTTGGTCGATAAATTTTCGCCTAGGACGTCCCTTTCCGACTCTGCCATTCACTTCTGCAACATATATTTTCTTTGTCAGTCTTTCCGAATTCATTCTTTCTACATGACCAAACCACCGAAGCATTCCTTTCTTAATCCTGGTCATCTTGCAAACCACACTCTTCTCTTATCACACAATTTCTCACCCTGTCATTTAGATTCAGCCCTAACATACTCCTTAGAGACCGCATTTCTACAGCATTTATTCCACTTTCGTGCTCCTTCTACCACACCCAACTTTCACTACCATACGTTAAAGTAGGGACTAATACAGCACTGTGAATTGCCATACGTG